TAGAGTTTTGGCATGAGGCAGGGTGGTTAGTTGGTTTCGTAGCCTTTTCAGCTTGAGTTAATAAGTCCTTAGGGGTGTTCTACACCTAGTGCCTTAAAGCCTTAGTGGTTTGGGAGTCACTGACCTAAAGCTAGCTACATGGGTTAGATCGAAAGCTTAAGGGAACTGACATTGCACAACCGCTACTGTTACTGAAAAAAAAAATTCGGAAAAGAAAAAGAAAAAGAAAATATTTGTGAAGTATGAACAAAAGGGATGAGAGATAAGGGTTTAAGTCGAGTCTCCTTAACTATGATGGTTCGTGTTACACCGAAGGAAGTTTGTGAATTCTTTTCTAATTGATTCTAAATAGCTTAGACTCTGTGGTGGGATTAGTTGGATCTATTGAAAAGATGTTCTAGTTTTTAAAATTTGCTATGAATAGCAACTTGAAGGTGGAAATTTTGTCCTAGTTAAGTGTTAGCCAGATGTCTAGTCTTTTAAGTTTTTATTTTTGTTTGAGTCTTGTTTTACTTGAGGACAAGCAAAGAGCTAAGTACAACACAACTGAAGCAAAGGAAACAAGAAGCAGTTGTGACTCAGAGGCTAAATCAAATATAAAGCTGAAGAGCGAATAACAATTTCCACTAACCATGTTGGAATATTCACATTGTGGAGCACAGAATGATTGAATTGCAATACGACCGACAGAAGAAATGCTGTCATCAGTTTTGTATTTTCAGCCAAAAGAAGGAGATAGTGTATGATCAAACTTAAAAAGAGAAAAAGAAACGAAAAAGAAGAAAGAAAAAAAAAAAGAAAAAAAGGAAAACAAACCATATGACCATGGCCACCAAAAATACCTTATGGATTATTAGTTTCATTACACGCCAGGTAGTGGAGTCTTAATGACAACTCTTGAGGACTCAAATTCAGATTTTCTTAAAATATACAAGAACCATTAAAAAAACAGAAAAGAAACTAAGAGAATTACAACATCTGGCGGCAATCTCATTTGATTTTTTAAGATCAAAGAGGTTATAAACAGTTCTTAGAAATAAAAGGTTAAATGTAATTGTTTCATTTCCTCGCATAAGCTGCAAAAATGAATACCAAAGACATTCAATTTCATGAAATTTGTACTGGTCCCAACATTTAATACATGCACACACACATAAACAGGACATAGAGTCACTGAAAATTCGTCTCCACAATGAACAAAGCTAGTTTGACATTATGAAAAACCAATTGGCATGCATGTAATTTCACTAACCAGATATGTCACATCCTATAAGTAAATCTCTAGGCAGAAAACATAAGACAACAGGAGCATACCTTGGAAATTGAGATGAAAATGTGGCGCAATGGTCATGAAGAGCAACAAAATTTGGACTCTTGAATGCTAACGCAATCAATACGCGTCCCGCTTAGAAATTACCTCTCCAAGGGCTTCCGAAAATCAAATTCATTGCACAACTCATGTTTTCTATTTGGACAACGACAACATAACAAACCGCTCT